AAATTTGCAATTTTGGCATTTTATCAAAAACTTGCCCATTTTCGAACATTTAAGTTAGACAGTAGGCAATCTCACAACGTCGCCTCTCCCCGTCGCCCGGCAGTAATGCCAGAAACCTTACCAAGACCGGCACGCCGAAAGGAGCAGAAGTAGACGCGTATCGAAAACATTTTTGGCATTCTGTTTTAAGGGCAAATGTACGGGAAAATCTATGATGTGTCAAGTATATCTAATAACCAGGTTGATAGTGTATATATTTTATTTTTTTGATGTTAGTATATTTCCTATTCTAGCAGATATATTTACTAACATCCGAAATTTCCCTCAAATCCCTCAGATCCTTTGAAACGACAAAAAACGAAGTTTGACTGATTTCTATTTTTTTGGTTTTTGGCTTCTCTCCGCCAGTACTCAACAGATTTTCAAAAACTTTTGTTACGGCGTAGAAGTAATCTTGTGTAGGAGTTTCATCGGCTTTTATTTTCATATATGTCTTGTGACTTAGTGTGTTTTATTATATTAAGTATTGCGATCAAGCGATCATATAAAAATACTAACTCGATATTAGAAAATATGCGAATCTTAGATAAAAATGCCAAAATTGTGACCTTTAGACGTTTTACTAAAATGAAAATATTAATGATGACGGAAGCTTAGAATACATAATATGCCTAAGATATTTGAATGCAAAAATTTCATAGATGCCATCGACTTTGATTCATTATTAGGGCCGAAAACCCCGCTTATAGACATCCTTTTCCTAGTAGCACAAATAGCAAAGTCTTAACATAACTTACAATAGACATGATTTTCAAGAAACTATCGGCTTATCAAATAGAAGTACAGTACAGAGTCTTACCACTCACCAAACAAGTTCTTTTAATACGACACATGTTTCGGTAAATTATCGTCTTCAAGGAAAGATTAAATATACCAGGCGCTGGTAGGAATTGGGTTTGCTGGGCCACTTTTTGGTCCATTTTTTCAATCCCCTTGCCTCCTAAGTAATTGAGGGGTCCAATGCATAAGCCATTCAAGTCACATGAGGAAAAATGTCGAGAAAACTTAAAAAAACATTCTTGATGTAATTTTTTAGTTACTGAAATTTTTCATATCTGTTGTCAATTGCAGATAATTCCTCTGCATTATTTTTTAAATATATCAATCTGTAAATAAAAAATAAATGATCTATGAGGGAAAGATCAAAGGACTTGACTAGTTTATGTACAGTTTTTTGATTTTTTAACGGATAAAATTAAATTAAAACAAACTTTGACTGGCTTTGACTAATACATAGTTCAATTTAACTTTTGACACAAACTTAAAATATTTTCATTATTCATCTTCACTGAGTTCTGATGCGGAAGTGTCTTTATCAGCTGACGAAAAGCTCTGATGGTATTTCCTGATTTCTTCATAAAACCACTGATCACATTGTGGCACATAATTTTAATTATCATAACGTAACCAGATTTATTTTTCTGAAGCTTTCTTCTTTCACTATACATCTTATTTGTAGTGTTTGGTAGAGACAGAAGCTGCACATTCTCTTATCTCGGATTTAAACAATATTAAACTGATACAAAGGGACTGTTTCACTATTTAAATAATATTTCATTATCCAGTTTTTCGTAGTGCATGATTATACATTTTGAAATCGTAAGTTTATTGTTCTTCTTTATATATCCTGCACCACATTGATGACTTTAAAGTTTTTGTTTTTATTTTCAATGATCTTTGAGTACTATTGCGACAAATATATGTTGTCGTGCTTTCTTTTTTGTATTTCCATGACTTTAACGGAAGGAAACTACTCGTATGTCCGGGTTCGGGATAGCTGTGCTGTATGACTGAAAGCACTGTGCAAAAGCCGGTCAAGTCCAGGACTTGACTGGCTTATGCAAAGTGTAAAGTCGTAGGCAGCCAATTCAGTTTTCAAAATTTAATTGTTACAGAACTGGTTTATGCAGTGAAAGGTTCAGAATTTAAATTGTGCAAGAATATACATCCAACTTATTGACTCATAAATTAAAAAAAAAGATTGTTCGCTGGCCTACTCATTTGAATAAAGAATCTCCATAATAACTTTTCTCTACGTCTAGTTTTCGATCTATAAGCTATTCATTGTGTGAAAACCCCTAAAAATGTTCATCCTCAATGATTAAAAACTTGGTTAAAGATCATTACTACGGAGGTTGAGAAGTATCTAAATCAAATGTAAAACCTTTCTCTACAAGACCACCAAAAATTAATTTATTTTAAAGTGCTTTATAAGCTGGTTTGTTAAGCCAAAATTTGCGCACTTTTGATATTCGCAGATTGTACATACAACCTTCATTAAGTTGAAGCTCTTAACTTTTCTTAAGTATACAGGGCGTCACAAAAGTCAAGGAAAGGTGGTGATAAGGGGCATTCCCAATCAGAAAATCCAAATTAATGATAGATATTCTGTTCAACAACGTTTTTCTACTTCATTCAACAGCCTATAGTCCCTTTAATTATAAAGAAAGTAATCGATTAAAATAACTATCGCTCAATAGCATGTAATCCACATATTTCCTTCATACTTTAGAGGGGAAAGGGGTTAAAGATCCGGATTATTATTAATTGACATTTTGTCATTTGGTATCTGTTCATAAAGTGCGGTCCTCACATTTTCCATATAGAGTCTGCAACGATTTTCGAAAAATTATTCCAAATAGCGGTAACTCAAAAACCGTGCGTAATATGTTGAATAAGGACATGCACGGCATTTCTGATTAGAAATGAAATCCTATCATTGTCGTTCCATGATTTTTGAGATGCTTGGTATATTTAAAAGAAAAAGGTTCAACTGCCAATACGCTTTGCGATAAACAAAACAATGGTTCTGGCTCCAATTAAATGCGAGCACCAAAATCGATTTAAAATAAATGAATGTTGAACTACTCTTCGGTATCTTATATGGGAAGATTTTAGTTTTAATTTGGATACTTAGCAATCTCAGAAATAACGATTTTTAACCGAGTTTTCAATCATTTAAGATGGCCATTTTTAATAATTTTCAGACATTAAATGGCTTATCGCTCGAAAACGACTAAATATGGAAAAAAGTTACTGGAGACCTTACGAGAAGTCAGAAAAAAAAATTGTAGGATTATTTAAGACGGGATGGGATTGAGAAAATGGACCAGAAGGTGATACGGCATGATCCGGATTACTATTCTCTAACCTCTTCTCAGCTGGTATGTTCATAAAATGCGGTCCTCAGATTTTGAAAACTCAATTTCATTCAGCGTCTTGTCGAAAAACTGTTATTAAAACTGTCTTAATCTTCCCCTGAAGATGCTAACATAGCGAAACACGTCGTAAAGCTCTGTAGTAGTCATAAAAATACCGTTCTCACGATTTGGGACATCCCGGTATTAAACCAATTGAAAAGCTAAGAATCTACATGATTATTGCTACTAGATCTATAAAAAGTTGTATCTGTTGGATATTGGTACTTACTAGTAACATGTATCTCACTACTGGAATCATCTTTTATGGATGTAGATTCGTATGTACAGTGAAGCAAGGACTGTACGAGTGTTTACCGTTTGTCGAAAGGTGAAAAGAAAACTGGGCAAACATTATGCAAAGCCTCTTTTAATATCAGCCATGCAGTGTAACTTTTAAATGTGTAAACTGGACATGTAATATTTGCATAAATGTTTGGTGAGAATAACGAAATCACTATTACATGCAGACAAACGTATCTGAAATTGTTCCAGGACAGTATTAGCCCTACTGAAACTTGGAGATACGTATCAGACTCAAATCATGTTAATTTAATACTTTTTACTTTAATGTAATACGTATAACATTTCATTTCTTTTGAAATAGCAAATATTGCTTTTCCTGGCTTCGAAGTAGTTGCCCATAAAACGGAACGTTCAGTACCTCCTGCTGTATACGAGGTCTGTAAATTAAATGATGAGACTGACTTTTTAAATTTTCTTATTCAAATATAATTGCAATTTTATATTGCCGACGGTTTTCCACCCTTAGTAGCAGTTGTGGAACTCCTATACTGGAATAGCCTTGAGCTGGTCGGCTTCAGCTGTTTGAATGTTTTCGAAAGTCCCAAATTGAGTTCCCTTGAGGTAATTTTTCAACCTCGGGAAGAGAAAAAAGTCACAAGGATTCAAGTCAAGCGAAGAAAGAGGGTGAGGAGCCACAGGAATGTCTTTACTGGCCAAACCTCATTTACTGACATTGCTATGTGACAAGGAGCATTATCGTTATGCAACACCCAATTGCTCTAGATCTGATAAGCGGTGAGGTGAGCCAAATTCCACTCTTTCTCGATCATTCTGACTGTCAGCCGACGATCTGAACGCACAAGATCCCGGATTCTATCGATACCTTCATCGGTTCATGTAGATCATTGATTCCCAAAGTCGTCTATATCGACCCCTAGGGGTCTATGACAACCTCCAAGGGGTCTACGTCAGCGAAAAAAAATTTGGGGGTCCATGAAATGAATATGGGGTCCACGATAGAAGTTATTTCGTTTGAGAGTGCTGGAGAAAAGTAAGTACATTATTTTATATTAAATTTTAGTTTTGTACTCGTAGTTAGCAAAGATAGATAAATTACGCCAATCATGACTTTAGTTATTAGTAGTTAAATATTCAATCATGCAAAATTACACGAGTACTCCTCAATAGCTTCTTTTTGAAAGTTTTTGCAATCGGTAATATAATTACACTGCAATCTCCGTAATTCGAGCTAATTGTTGCAAGAAGATGTTCGAATTAGGGAAAATCAAAAAATATTTTTAATATACAGCTGCTGGATTTTCTGTCTTATTCAAATAATTTAATTTTGCCCACAGATGACTGATGCCATGTCCGAATCTAAAAAGAAATATATACAGTACAGTGTTGATTATTTGAAATTTGGCTTCATTCCATCATTGCCGGACAAACAATCCCCTATGTGCCTTTTATGAAAACAAAGTTTTGGGCAATGACGCTATGAAACCATCTAAACTGCAAGATCATCTGAGAAGATGCCACCCTGATAAAACAGAGAAAGATTTGAAATACTTTCAAACACTCAAAGATAAATTTCAGAAGAGACCTACACTGGACAGAATGTTCGCTTCGACGTCACAAAGAAATGATGATGGTTTGCGGGCGTCTAACAATATCTCGTTACTTATAGCAAAATCCGGAAAACCGCATACTATGGGAGAGAAGTTAATTTTGCCAGCCGTTGAAGAGGTTTTAAAAACTGTTTTACACAAACCTGCATCTGATATCATTAAAAGAATTCCCTTAAGCAACAATACTGATGAAAGACGTATTGATGAAATGAGTTCTGATATTGAAAGCTTCTTATGTAATTATTTGCAAACGACCCATTTCTCTATACAACTGGACGAGTCAACTTTACCTGATAATGCAGCATTATTATTGGCATATGTTCGTTTTATTATGAATCAAGAAATCTACGAAGAACTGCTCTTCGCAAGAACTTTGATAACCGACACTAAAGGTGAATCAATATTTCATGTTTTGAAGGATTACTTCATTGAAAAAGCAATTCCTTTATCAAATATAATATCAGTAGCTACAGATGGAGCACCTGCCATGGTTGGACGTTATCGTGGATTTATAAGCTATTTAAAACAAAATGTGTCAGGGGTGTTAGCAATACATTGCGTCATCCATCGACAACATTTAGTTGCTAAAAATTTGAGTGTTAGATTGCATGAATCACTTCATTTAGTCATTGATGCAGTAAACCGAATCAGAAGCAACGCGTTGAATACGCGGTTATTTGCGCAGTTGTGTGAAGAAAATGACGAACACTTTCATCAATTACTCCTTCACACTGAAGTACGCTGGCTGTCGAAAGGCTTATGTTTGACAAGATTTTTTGCACTTTTTGAGTCTATTTTAGAATTTCTGGATACTGAAGATACAATTTTAAAAGAAAATTTAATGAAGAGGAAAATAGACATCGCCTATTTAACAGATTTGTTTACAAAATTTAATATGGTTAATTTGCAATTACAAGGCGACAGTTTAAATTTGATTAAAACAAAGTCCATCTTATCAGCGTTTCTTGCCAGAGTTAAACTAATGAAGCAAAATATTGGACGGCGGATTTTCTCAGTTCCCCAATTTGTCACAGACAAGCTGCCAGGAAGACGGCGTTTCAACTTACGTTCAACATTTAAATGCCCTCTATTCAGATTTTGAATCTAGGTTTGAGGATATTTTGACTGTGGTAATACCACCGTGGATAATTAATCCCTATGGTGACATAGAAGAAACGAATGTCATAATACAAGAGGAACTGACTGAACTAAGAACAAACGAAGAACTTAAGGTTCAGTTTAAAAACGGATATCAGCAATTCTGGCTGCAAAACAACATACCCGTTACTTATCCCGTATTATGTAATATAGCGAGGAAATTTTTAATTTCCTTTCCATCATACCTAGTGGAAAGGTGGTTCAGCGCTGTTACCATCTCCTAACGAAAAAAAGAAACAGACTGGACATCATTAGCCGAGGAGATTTAATTGAGACAAAATTGACGCCAAATGTTGATAATTTATTATTAAAGCATCAGGTTCATCCTTCTCACTAAAAACGTTGACTTATTGCTTATGTTGTTTTATTTATAGTTTATTTTATGTTTATTGGTGTCCGACCAATAAATGCCCGCATTGGAAATAAGTGCCCGCATTGATTTTGTTAAAGAACCCCCCTTTATAGAAAATATATTTTTTTTAAATTATTCTGAAAATTCAAGGATAGGCACACACTAAAATTCGTTAATTTTTTGCCTATTTTTAGATAACTTAAACGTATAAGAAGCAGAATTTAATCAAACTAACAGTGAAATTATTGTAGAACATACGTTTATGTTATAATTAATAAACGAACTCGCTTATTGTACTATCTTAAGTAAAAAACTTTTTTTTTATTATTTTTCACTTTTTTTTTATTTTATCTCTCTTATTTTTGTTTCAATGCGGGCACTTATTCCCAATGCGGGGACTCATTGGTCAGATACCTGTTTATTTAATGTTACGTATATTTTACATAACAGATACAAAATTTTATTTTGAGTAGTTTTAATTTAAATTCAATTAATACATGTATAAATTGACATGTGTTTTACTTTAAGTTTTTAACACTAAACTTCACTACAGTTAGAAGTTTACAGGAAATCAATATCAAGTAAGTAGGGGGTCTACCCAACACGGAAAAACATGGCAAGGGGTCTACGACACAAAAAAGTTTGGGGAACTCTGATGTAGATGAAGGCCTTCCGCTTCGTGGTTCTCTCTAAAAAGGCCTTAAACCACCGAAAACCCTGGTCTATTGACAAAGTACTATCTCCGTACGCCTGTTTAGCAAGAGTTTCCCTTGCACTGTACCCAAGCCTGAAGCAAAACCTGATGGCGCACCGTCGTTCATTTTTAGAACACAAAAAAAAATCTCTACGGTCAACCGAATGACCCGAGCGAATTCAAACTTATACTGACGGCGAATTACATGTTTCCTGCTCTCTTCCAGGGGGGTGAAATGTCTTATGAGCGAACTGGCAACACCAAGGTCATCCCGTCAGGCAAAATCGGAGAAATTGCATCACCGACATCGCGTGACGTGCTGCTTGCCGAGAAAAATATCAAATATGGCGTTTGTTTTGGTTAATATCCAGATTATCAACGCTATGCTTTCGGGGATATTTGGTAAAAAAATGAGCCTAAAATACAAAGCAACACTATCAGTAGCTGTGGTGGTATACGTGAGATGTATTTTGACTATTGCGGGAGAGGCAGAAGCTCAGGAGACTCAGTCATAAAGTGCTACGGGTAGGTTGTGAACTTAACACATTGGCAAGATGTAGTTGGTAGATTATATGGAATTGCATGTCTGGATTCAGTGCCTCCTTATAACCCTTGTAGTTGGTACCGTCATATAAAGTATGGAAGTTTTTTTTTTAATTAAATAGGACCTTGTAATATCGGCAGAGTACAGTCATAAAGCCCTAAGCTTTTTCAAGAAAAATTCTGACCATCTAGGCCAACAAATTAAAAGCATAGAACTGAGCAAACTAATTAAAAGTGACTAGCTTATTTACAAAGAATTTTGAATCACATTGGTGCTTTCTGTATTGTTTCAGAATAATCAAGAAGCAGTACAATGAAGTGAGACCTCTATGTTTTGCAGCACAACATGAATTTGAAATAAATCTATCTGTATGCATATTTTCATTTGTATACCATTGTCAATAGCATACGACTATTTTTTGAAACTAAATAATTTGGTGCTTCATAATTAGGGTTGGATTTTATTATTCTGAACGTTGTTCTCAGCAAAACTGCTGAAAGAGATATTAGGTACCCTTAATCTGGATATTTTATAAATATATGTTCATGAAATAATCCTTCAATATCACAAACATAATTTTTAACAGATTTCAAATTATGAACAAACGAAATCACCGACACATTCCTAGCGTTCCTCATTCGAGATGTATTCTTGGCATTCTTACTATAGTTCCTCCAGATCTCCAGGCAAGTAGGCGGCGCAACCATCTGACAAACGTCAACGGTGTTGCCATCGTTCAATGTGCAGCTCTCACTTCTTCACCCTTATGTGTTTTGTGGTCCAAGCCGGGCGCCTCCAGTGTTGCCAAATCGAGCACCACAATACGATTCTCATCACTTGATTTACAGACCTCGTATGTCAACGCTTTCACGCTACATGACAAATTCTACTTTTTCATGTTTTTGTTTTCATCGTACAATATTTTACAAAATTGCTTTAATCCAGATTTTTACATTATTTCTATACGAAGGTTTCTATGATACCAATATGCTTCATTTATGGGATACGCTATGCTACTTCTGCTTTAGTGAAATTGTCGACCATATTCAGATGAGAAATGAGGGTTATAAGGACTTAGAAATAGCTGAAAGGTCTTACTACCCAGTATTTTTCTCCAAGAAGCAACAGGAATGAGATATAAATGTTATAATCTGTTAGCTGCCTTTAATTTGAAATTTATCTCATCAGGAAATGTGAATAATGAATATTATTTGATTTGTACAGGCTGGCCAATATATAACTGATTTAAATTGCGCGCTATGTTTATACACGTATTTCAGTAGGTGGCGCCATAGTAGTTGTTTAAAGCACATGTGTCCAATTCAACATGAAGCGCTACACGATCCCACAACGCGTCCATATTGATCTTACTTAAATAATGAGTCGATTGTTGCAAGAATTTGGAACCTACATCAAGATTTCGGTCGAAATAATGTGCCCAGTGTCAACACCACCGTCAGTTGGTACGGAAAATTGAACAAACAGCTGAAGTTGAAGACTTTCCAAGGTCGCGCCGGGTTCGAACTGTTCGGAAAATGACAAGCGAGTTCGTGAAAGCGTAGTGGAGCGCCCTGAGACGTCTACCAGACATCGTTCTCAAGAATTGGGTATTCGTCGCACGTCATTATGCACTATTTTAGAAAACGACTTGCATTTGCAATTCAGTTAACCCAAGAACTACAGCGTAGTGACCATAAAAGTCGCCGACAATACAGTCATGCAATATTGCCGCTTAATACCAAAAATAACGATTTTTACCGCCAACTGATAATGAATGGATTTGTTAATAATAATAATAATATATGCCTTTATTACAAAAATATGTACATGGTACATACTGAAAGTGGGACTCAACTGGCGAAGTTTAGCAATGCTACTCTCACACTTAACCAGCTGAATCAATAAATACAGTGATGTTAAATAACAGAAAAAATACATACATATACAGGGTGACTTTGAAGTTGAGTCATTAATTTTCAGATAATGATTGTAGAAGGAAGATAAACCAAAATATGCGTGTAAAAATAAAAAATAAAAATTAAAAAAAAAATGTTACCTTGTTTTGTAAAGTATCCTCCCGACAAGTATTTCAGTGCGGACCTGTATTTGATCGTGCAGTCGTGGAGCACCCGCATGCCCTCCCCTGTGAGGTCTTAAGTCACCTGATTCACGAGCCCTTTGTACTGTACTACATTCAGCATTTTCGTAAACATGTGCCATTTTTTATTTCGTTTGAGCCACGCAACAAACACCACTATTCACTCACGCGTTACCGACTGACACATCGACTGAATACAACTGAATAAAATTGTAGATTGTAGTAAAAACATCGTTTCAAATTCTTTCGCTTTTTTGTTTCCGATGCGATGAACGGATAAGGCGGATTATATCCGTTGTTGCCAAACACGAGCACATAATATTATTATTGAGACAGGGCGGTACTCAAACTTCTAAAGGGCTATAACTTTGTTACTTTAATTTTACCAGAAAAATGTTAAATGAAAAAAACATTTCTTTTGATCAGATCTACTCACTGTTAAAATAAATGACCCAACTTCGAAGTATATATACACACCTATATCCACATACATATATACACATATATATCATGCGCTTAAAAATAATATTAGCTTCTCAACGTAATAAATAGAAAGTCTGATTGGATGATGAATGTGGAAAGTATAGTATCAGTCAAGCAGCTTGATCCTTACATGCTTACGAAAACTTGCTAAGCTCATACATTTAAAGGAATACTCCAACGAATTATATAGAACTGCCGAATTATATAGAACTGCCAAATTATAAGAAAAACTGCGCGTAAGACTGTAGAGTGAGGTGGAATTTTGATACTCAACCTATGTCTAACTAGCCGATGTTGAACAACAAAGTTAAATAGAATTTTTTCTCTCAATTAGGCGAGCCTCGAAGTGGTTATTACTTTGTGAATAAATACTAGATGGTGGTATTCGACCAATTTATCAAATTTGAGCCAATTCAGCGTCCTGTATTTCTGTGATACATGGCCAAATTTTCTCAATACACATATAAAACGAACACAATTATTTTGTATAATTTGCATTCTATGTTTTGTTATTTTGTCAAGGCATGGGAAATAAAGGATGTTACAGTAGTTCAAACAAGACACCACTAACGTTCCACACTGATTTTTCCTTCAGTAAGTACCTACAAGAGTACAAAGTGCGTAGGCGCAGGTAGGTTTCTTGAACAAGACAGTTGATGTGATCATAAAACCTTAACTTCTCATCGACCTCGACACCTAAAATCTTGGCCGTAGTTCAACCTAAAGAAGAATTCTGTCAATAAAGATGTTAAGGTTAGCTTTGACGTAGTTTCTTTTATTATCAGAACAGAAAACTATGATTTTTGACTTCTCAGGATTAACAAATGAACTGTGGTTGGCTGAATATTTACAAAGCATGTCAATATCATGTTGTAGCTCTATATTAGCTATTGGTAATTTACTAGCTTCAAGATAATGTACTATTTGGGTATCTTCTGTAAAAGATTGCATTTCAGAATTTTCCATTACTGCATATAGATCGAAGGTGTAGATGAGGAATAAGAGAGGACCTATGATAGATCCCTGAGGCACTCCAGATGGTATGACACTTGGGACAGAGCTCTGTCTAGATAGAGAAACTTCCTGAATTCGGTCGGTTAAATACGCACTGAAAAATGTAAGTGAGGTATTATCAAAGCCAATATACTTCAACTTAGCTAGAAGAAGGAGATGATTGATCCTATCAAACGCCTTAGAATAAGCTGGAACTTTTAAAATTCTATCAAATAACCTTAATTTTGACGATGAAAAGGTGCAGATTCGGTCATTGCTGGATGAGGTACACTTTCAAGGGGATGGCTTAAAATTTGCAAAACTGCAACGATGCAACTGACTGGAGGAGAAAAGATGATGATCTTCTTCTGTTTCGCTGAGGGTCAAAATCCCATAAAAACATGGAAGACGTAGCACCCGAGCCAAAATAACTAAACATAAGTTACACAACAAAAAGAAAAGGGTGCTAGTCCATGAATGGGCGCTTGGGGCATAATATCCAGGAGTCCGGAAAACGACAAAACGACCCCTGCACCACGACCTCAACGGAAACAGAAAAGCGAATCACGCATAATACGTAACGTTCTAGAGGAAGGAACCTTGAGTGGCCTTGAAGAAGATATGTTTTATAGGAAACCAGCTAACGGAGAAAAACTACAGAGTTCTTTTGCTGATCGTCAACACCATACTGAATCGCTGAGAAAGAAAGATATGATACGAGTGAAATTACACAATCAATAAACTATTAAAATTGCAAAAAGAAAATCATTGAAAAGGGTATGGCCTAGGAATGGGCACTCTATTATCAATGAAGAGAAATTCAAATTAAGGATAAGTGATAAATAGTAAAAAAAAGGTTGCGTAATTTTGGCACGTGACAACCAGACTGATTAGTGGATAAGATTTTGCATAATAAGCAGAATTATCGTATCTGTGCATTGGAGAACCCTCGTGTTATCCATCAACGACCACTACATCTTCGTCGAGTCAGTTTGTTGCAGTGTTTGGTATGGAGGTGTCATTAGACCTTACTTCGTTTGAAGACGCTGCGGGTAAATTATCTTACTGTCACTGACGAGCGCTACCGTGATATGGTGCAGAACTTTCTGGCTCCTCAAACCCAACAATTTAACCTGAAAAACATGAGGTTCCAGCAGGACAGAGCAACTTGTCACACAGCTAGGGAAACAATGAATCTTTTGCGAACAATTTTTCCGGTACGTTTAATTTCTCGATTTGGTGAAGTCAACTGGCCACCAAGGTCACAGGATTTACCGGCTCCTGACTTTTTTATGGGGATTTTTGATAAATACGGTTTATGCCAACAAACTAGTTACTGTAGAGCAGCTGAAGAACAATATTATGGAAGCGATTGAAAATATTCCACCCGAAACCTACCAAAAAGTGATGGAATATGTAATCATTTCTAAGTTTCAATAAAAGATTAAGATGAAAAAATGGACGTTTCTTTCACAAATATTCAAGATACAAACCAGTTAGTTACATATCGGCCACCGTGTATAACCGACAGTTCTTAAACTGCTGAAAACTGAAATAACACTTTCTTATTCAGATATGCGGTTTTATTTCTTTTACTAACATCCACCTGTTAATTAATAAAACACAGAAAACACATAAAAAAGGTTTATTTTATTCAGGCCATTATAATACACATGGAGATACATCATGAACAGAAGGTTGTTGTGTTCAACCCATGGGCGCCCACAGGGCAGGCCTGGAATACGCTTGAACCATCAAAGTTGAATATTTAGCATGACTTTTTGTAAAATTTTGAGGATTCTTAGGATTTGACTGAACAGTTCTAGCTCATCAAAAAGCTTTGGGGACAAGTATATTATCACAAAAATTTATCTCTCTCCGATGATCGGCACCTGCGAAAAAATCTTGTGGGCGCCCATGGTTCAATCTAAACCAAGTAGCTATAGTCAAAATCACGAAAGATGACTATTACGTCATAATGACAACAAATTTATATTATGATTTTGCGAAGTTAGGTTACTTCACCGATTATTTTTATTTTCATTTCATTTCATGGTTTTGAGTGATACCTTAATAATAATTTTAGTGGGGAGTTTTTCTTTTGAAAAAAAAAACAGTTATGAGTAGAATACCTTAAGACAGGAACACCACAGACGAAAGTATTATCCGAAAACAACATAACCTGCTTTAACATAACCTAACTATTCATCTTTCAAATATGATCGATCATGTAACATGAAAACATCGTCTATCTTTGTCGGATACATGCAAATTAGCAACACAGTTTGTTTAGACAATAAAATTCTGTCTGTCTCTGTCTAACATATCAGAAACTTCATTAAATATATTCACAAATCGCTGTCGTTTGTCTTTACCACAGACTAAAATGATGACGTAATTGTCATATTTCATGATTTCGACTATATACGGTACATCAATAATAATAATAATAATAATAATAATAATAATAATAATAATAAATGGCCTTTATTCGTCACATGATTACAAAATAATTGGCTCAAGAGGAACAGTGACGAAAAGGTGAAGTGTCAGCTTATGCTGTTTTTCAACCCGACCTAAAAAAACATTGACACAAACTATAAAGAAAAAAAATAACTACATTTAAATGGAACAGTTCACAACATTGACCACCAAAAAGAGAAAATCTTAAAATATTACACTTCTCAGAAAAAGGAAACAATCAATTACCTGTGGATATGCGTAAATTCTAGCCATCCGATTGCTTTAAACTCATCTTTAACCTTTTTTTAAAATTGCTTAGGCTATATTCTTTATACTCACTTGACAAGCAGTTATATTAGTTTGGGTGCCCAGTACGAGAAACTGCGTGTGAACAATGCTGTCGAATGCCGCGGGATAAGTAAGATGCGTTTATTCCTAGAGGATCTTTGATTGTACTGACAGAGGAGATTTAGCTTTGAATAAAGATAATATGGCACTTTGAGGAGAAAAGTCTTATGTACCAGAGATAGGCAATGCAGTTTCCTCAATTTATTCATCTTAAACCATCCCGACTGGTGAAAATCGCTACTAATATGATCAAATTACCTTGTATTGCCTTGTATTTTACAATCTAGTTAACTGTTATGACATATATTCCTAAATTCTGAGCTTCCTAGCCACGATTGTTTCGCCAAATCATTTGATTCAATTCAATGAATTATTTACCTCCTCAACCACGAAATAGGTGTAAGATGAAATAAGGAAAATAGGAATACTAAGAAATAACTAATTATTGAACAATCGGGGCAACCTCTGCAGTTTAAAATAACAGTATTTTAAGAAAGATGTAATGAAAAAAAAAACGAAAACAGATCTCAAAAAACACAAAAGGGAAAGACATATAACTAGAACTAACTTAAATCATTTTTGTGATGATGAGGTGGTACAGCATATTCGGATTTGAAAAACAATACTACATAGTTGTATGTACTAAATTGATAACTTTATCTTATCTTAAGGCTACTTAAATTAATATATCTATAATCTTTCGTGTAAATACAATGTTGGAAATTATAAATAATGCTATCACCGTAACAGAAAAAGAACGCAGCAGATAATCATAAATATGCATGAAAAACAAACATTTTATACTTAATCTATACCTACCTAATTATTTCGATATTTGCAACACAGATATAACTTACTATTGACAAGCAAGAATCAAGTTTAATAATGTTATGAGCCAATCAATAGAAAGAAAGAAAGTTGTTATGGTCTGCTGCGTGCTCGTTTCCTCCAAGCTTAATGATTTTTAATAGAAAATGAGTCGAACTTTCTGAAATTTCAGGTTTTAATCCCATATGAGTTTTTCATCAAAAGGTTGAGAATGGCACCATAGCGAATATCCAAAGAGAGAGAAGTCCACTTCGAATTAAACTAAGTAGCTCAATTTCTAGTAAACTAGAAACTCATTGATTATGCTCAATAGTTAGTACTATTTGGGCAAAAGCCTAAGAATCAGTTCGAAACAACATACTTTTTTGCTTTGATTGACTAAGTGTGTAATAGTCTAATCGTATTAACAAATTTCACCGAAATGATTGTAAAGTATGGTTTTATTGCTGTAAGTTGTTCAAAACATGGACGCATAAAATAAGTACACCAATTTTTGTGACAAAACTTTTTATTTGACAACAAAGAATGAGAAAACGTGTTGAATGAAAAAACTTTTCATATAAGGTTTTTAGCTATTTATGAGATAAAATGAACCACACGTAAAAAGATCCGACTAATGGCAAAAATGTTATGGCCGAAAAGCGAGGCAAAATGCAGGTTTTGGCACTTGTGAAATTCTTCAAATCCGTAGAATTGGATTATATTGCTAAAGTAGTTATTTGAGAATTTCTAGTTGTTTATCCCAAACCACTGTTATCCGCCCATCACTACTAGTTTATTGAGCAATATACTGGGTTCTTTCAAAGAGCTCCTAATAGCAAAATACACGTGCTTGCCTTTCTGATATGAATCACATATCATTCCGAAAGATAAATGTTATTTTTATGCGAAAAACAAAAGTTACGTTTTTTTCTTCTAAACAAATTCAAACATTTCGTATTTGTGAGTAATTGAACATCTTTTGTTGCTAATTAGGTACTTACAAATACGAAATGTTTAAATTTGTTTAGAAGAAAAAACGTAACCAATCCTTTTTTTGCAGAAAAATAACATTTACCTTCCAGACTGGTTTGTGATTCATATCGGCAAGGTACACTAGTGTATTTTACTATAAAGTGCCCTTTGAACTAACCCTGTATATCGCTGTAACGATAGCACCACATAACAAGTCGGCAACATCTACAGTGATACAACCACTAGCAACAGATGTACAGCCTGGGCCATCGAAAATCAATGATCGTGTAGAAAAAACGAATCCCAATGATCAGCCCGGATCTTCGGCTTCTGAATCTTCTTTTGTTTTACCGCATGATACATCACCTATCCCGAAACCCAAAACAAAAGCTTCAACTCGAGGACGCAAAGCATCATCGGCCGCTGAACTTAGATTATCAACTTACATAAGGGAATTAGAAGCATCCGTGAAGAGAACTACAGTGGCAGTAGCTGCACGGGGTCGGGGTCGCGTGAACAGTGTACAGCAAGTTCGACGTAACTTTTTGTCAAAAGGAAAAGTTTCCAGAAAAGCCTCTAGTACAAGCAGCAGTTCTGACAGTGATGAAGATGTTCTTCCAAGCAGTGATGATGACTCCGATGTTGATGAATCTTTGCAAGGGGCAGTTTCTGAGAACATCGATGCGACTTGTATGTTTTGTGACCGGCGTTTCTCTGGTGACCGACAGGGCGGAATATGGGTTCAGTGCCAAAGCTATGCGATGTGGGCACACAATGAGTGCTCTGGAGCCGAACGGCAGTATTACATATGTGGTTTTTGTAGGTAAAACTTTGAGAGATTCGTTTCTACTATATACTTTGCACGGTAATATGGCCCCATTCTTTGTTGTCGATTAAAAGGTTTTCCAACAAAACTCGGTGTACCTATTTTATGCGTCCATGTTTTGAATATCCCTTTGAACAACTTGCACCAATAAAATCAAACTTTTCAGTTATTTCGGGGAAATTTGCTAATATGATTAGATTATATTAAATGAATACGATCATGAAAGGTGACTTAAGAAATTGAATACGTCAATTTTAACATTCTAATACTCTAATCTAACTCAAGCTTCCGAAAGCTTCCTAGCAAGCTCCCTGTACTGTCCTCAGTTTGTCGGTTTTTCCTACACATAATTCCTTGGTCACTCAACAGACTCATACAATCAAATGACAGAAGTCTTTTTCTTTTCGTAGCTAACTCAACTTTCCACAAGTCAATCATTTCTTTAGCTGGAACGTCGCCTCCATACTCTTTAGGAAGGCAGTGTCTGTCCACTTTCTCCAACATGCTGTCCTTGGAATGATATACCTGAAAAATCAAACATAGAAACCGTTTCCAAAATGATCGTTTATGTACTTTAGCATAAAGTTACATGATATTAATAGTCAGACCAGTACAAGGCTCTACATAGATGTGTGAACGGTATTCCGCTCCGATTCGAAGCTGGACCTTGTACGTAAAGTGACACATAATCGACCAGCTTGAGTTATTGTAGAAAATCGCGTCAGGTAGATTGACTATGTACATCCCGCGCAATTCTGAACAAATAGACTTTGAGTATGCAGCATCTATAGTATCTAAGTCAAATTTTGTACACAATAGTATATTTATTATATAATAATAATAATAATAATAATAAACCGTCTTTTATTAGAAAAAACAAATTACAGATAATTCATATATTATTATCTATAATTAGATTAGTGAGCAGCTAATGGCAAAGTTTAGCTATGGCAGCTATTCTTACACTTAACCATTAACTGCATAAGAATATAGATGGTAAAAAAGTACAGCTGTAAAGAAAATAATAATGAAAATAAATGGAGGAAGATGCCGATGTAACTGATTACAAACTAAATAAAAATTAGCTTAAAAATATAATGCTGGAGAAAACCACCTTTAAGAATCACCATTGAACAGAAGAGCTCTTAAGTGCTTTTTAAAACTATACAGCGGCAGGCTTTTTGTTCTGTAATCTAAGCTATTGTACAACATACATGCATTATATGAGAAGGACCTGTTAAAAACAGATGAACTATGAAGTGGCATTGTTAAAGCTAATGTGTTACGGATATGTCGTTGATGAACATTATACATAAAAATTAGTTTTTCACGTAGATAAGTTGGAGTTCCAGAGACAAGTAACTTATGTATAAAGGTTAGATAGTTGTATTTAACTAAATCTGTCATCTTTAACCAACCTATTAAAGGATAACGATCCGAAACATGTTTATTTTGTACTACAGATATGCTGTTACGACTTGCAACATCCAAACAAGGATGATAAACTAGATTGCAATAATTAAAAATAGATAACACAAAAGATTCACACAACTTTTTTCGCACCTTAAAATTCAGCAAATTTTTGTTCGCATACAGAGTTCTCAGACGGATGTAACTTCTTTGTAAGAGGTTATTTAAATGTTCACGAAGCCGCACGTTTTCATCAATAAACACACCTAGACACTTGACACTTTCAGAAAAAGGAAGATTTTGATTGTAAATAGATATACTCAAGGAAGCTTTGACTTCGGCTCTTCTGTGATTTGGACAAAACAGCACAGCAGAAGATTTGGAAGCATTAACGGTTAGGCTGTTATTGGCTGAGTGGGTGCAAATAGAGTCAATGTCCTCATTTATTTCCATAGTAGCAGTCTGGAGGTTCTCAGGATAAAAGAAGTAAAGCAGTTGAGTGTCATCCGCATAAGACTGTAGCTGTGAATTTTGAATGGACTTAGCAATATCGGCTACATAAATTAAAAATAACAAGGGTCCTAAAATTGAGCCCTGAGGCACACCCGAAGTGACAAAGTGCTCATTTGACAAAACTCCAGAAACTGAGACGCGCTGAGAACGGTGGGTTAGGTATGATTTAAAAAACTGCAGCGCTATTTTATCAAAACCATAAAATTTTAGCTTAGCACACATCAGTGCGTGATCAATTCTATCAAAGGCCTTGGAGAAATCCAGTGAAACTAAGGCGACACACATTTTTTTATCAAGGGCCCTGATGATATTGTCCACTAAAGTAGAACTGTATGATTTACTACTCATCGGCCATAGAAACCCATACTGCTGGTGATGTGATAACATGAATATAATTAAATTGTTAACTTTTTTTTTTTGAAATAATCGGTTCTGTCAATACATGATACATAATATTGGGACACCTTTCGTACACTTTGGTACCATTGCATCCTCGCGCGTCTCAGCTGGGGCACCGTTGGTGTTGCTGAATTCAGATCCGACCCTCCGCAGGTAAAGGATATCATGTATTCCTGGCTAGCTGGGGTTATTGGAGTCGCAGACGTTAACATTATGTGTCTACAGGTGTAATCACAAAGGCTATACGAAACTACATATGGAAATTGCCGCCAAAGGTATCCAAATCATGATCAATCCAAATCAAGATATACTGGGTCAAATCACTGCCAGATTTTTCGATCTTGTTTTTTCGAAATATACTAAGTGACATATAAATCCGAACACCCAGTTTAAATGGTTTTATTTTAATAAAATTTTGTATAACTACTTAATGAAGCATAATAAGTAAATGATAAAAATTTCAAAATGATTGCACTGCTTTAAAGCCCTTTGACCTTTAATAATGTGTGGATGCACCCTGATGTGCTACGCATTCTCCAACGCGCCTAGGCGTGCTTCTGATCAGGTGGTCAATGTCCTCCTGTGGTATCTCATTCCAGGCAACCACCAACTCCTCTCGAAGTGCTTCTAGAGTCTGAGGAGGACGTTGCAAATTGAGCAATCTCCTACCCATCATATCCCACACGTGCTCGATTGGGGATAAGTCGGGAGATGTTGGTGGCCATGGTAACAATGTGACATCATTATGTTGAAAGAAGTCTATTGTGACTCTTGCAACATGTGGTCGGGCATTATCTTGTTGGAAAGTTGGATCTGCCAGGGTGTCAAGATAGGGTAAAAGATGAGGTTCTAGAACTTCGTGGATATAACGCTGCGCGTTCATGTTACCTCTGATGAAGATTAAAGGTGACCTGGAACCATAAGCTATAGCACCCCAAACCATAACTCCTCCAACAGTGTGATGAACATGTCTTTCAACAAAAAACTGTGGACTCCTCCTTTCACCACGTCGCCTTCTAACCCTGGCACGACCATCGCGCATGCCTAAACAAAATCGAGACTCATCACTAAAGACAATACTGTTCCATTCCTGATCCCAGAGCGACCGTTGCCTGCACCACTCAAGGCGATTACGTCGGTGTTCTCGAGTTAAAGGGAGAACCCAGTGTGGCCGGTATGAAAACAAGCCAAAACTTCTCATTCGTCGGTAAACACTTCGCATGCCAATAGGTCTTCCGTGTTCTGCAAAGCATTCATTTGCAATGGACCTGGTAGTGGAGAAACGGTCCCTTAAGGCCAATAATCTTAGGTGGCGATCTTCACGGTCTGTTGTTCTACGGCGGCGTCCAGTACCCCTTGCTCTTTGCGTACGGCCTTCTCGAAGCCATGCCTGACAACATCTAACCACAGTGTCTACACTTCTTTGCACTCTAACTGCAATTGCCTGAAAAGAAAGTCCAGCTTCCCGAAGCGGTGGCCGCAGTAGTAGACTCTTCGGTCTCCTGATCAGTCGCCGTGCGCTGTGCGGGTTCGAGTCCCGTCCCAGGAGAAATTTTTCTCTTGGCTATGGATGTTGTGATTGTCCGTAGGTGGTAGATGATCTCTGTCTGTCTAACGTGGAGGTACCACCCGGCGGATCTCGTAGACGGAGCCAGAATGTGTGCATGTTGCATGCACACGTGTCCCTCGCCAGAGTCCGTGTGGCGTTCCCCCTGTTCCCTGTATCCCCCTATAGCCCCACGGTACCCAATGGGTGTTTACGCCTTAGGCCTTCGTGGTAGTTGGAGTATATAAAAAAAAGTAATGGGTCCGACAGAAAAAAAATTGAAATTATTTTTGGAATTTTTCAGGTAATGACAATTTCGCAAACTTGAGAATCCACCTTATATCCGTGCTTTTCTGTGTTCTCTTTAGATCCACTAAGATAACAATTAATTTGTTTCCGGAAAATCGTTAAAAATTGGAAAAACCGCATTTTCACCGATTCTCTCCAATTTTGGATATTTTACACGTAGGGTATCACAAATTGGCTAACTTAAGAACCAGTGTATATATGTAAATATTTTATTCATTCTTTTAGGTTCCACAATCAAAAATTTTCTCGGAAAACGCGAAAATAGGAAAAACCGCTCCTTCACTAATATTTTTAAATTTTTTACGATTTTGGTTAGGGAAGGAATAGTTCGCCCACCTAGTAAGTCATTGTACATATATATTGTTCTATTTTCACTTCCGTTATTAAAATAATGATTTCTTAATCAGGAAAATTGACAAAAATTGGAAAATCCGCAATATTATCGATTTTTCCAATTTTAGGTATTTTTAGAGGAAAATATCATAACTTGGCTGACCAAAAGCTCAAAGCACTTATACATTTGCGTGCATCTTCCAGGTTTATTTATAAAAATTGTGATTTAAACATGAGTGAAAATGCGGTTCTTCCAATTTTTGGAAATTTTCCTGGCAAAAATTTATAGTTCTGTTAAAGGATCTGGAAAGAACGCAAGTACGCACTACTGTGTGTATTTTGAACCTTGCAAAATTTTCCCAATCCCAAATCCGCATAGTTTACAACCCCCTACTTCCTACAACCCTCAACCACCAATCTTCAACCCCTACAAAAAATTCCCTGAAACTACTCAAGAACCTTAAAGAACCAACACGCGACGGAGCGAGCATTTTCTTCTTTAGTTTTTTGTCCTTAGCTCCACTGCACTGCCACTGGACCGATTTTTAAAAACTACAAAGTTTTTTGTTTTTGAGATAGAAGTTACCTTGTGTGAGATCTTCATCATAATTCCACAGATATTTTCCAAGTTATAACGTGGCAAAGGATTAACTGTTAGATAACATCCGAAAAATATGGAGTTGTCCAAAACGGACGCAGGAAAGTAAACGCATATTAAAACAAGAAAGATTGATATTCAAATCAAGTTGGGTACTTTATTTTGAAGGTTCATTTATACCATTTATGTATGAAAAATAATATCGCTCAAATGTTCACCACGACTGGATTTACAGACGTCCACGCGATGGTTGAAATTTTCAATGACATTTTGCAACATGGTCGGTTCTATGGCATTTATCTCGGCAATGATGTTGTTTTTGAGTTCTTGGAGGGTAGCTGGTTTGTTGACGTAGACTTTGCTTTTCAAATATCCCCATAAAAAGAAGTCCAAGGGAGTCAAATCGCACGATCTTGGTGGCCATGGCACATTTCCTCTGCGCAAAATCACGCGATCACCGAAGAAGGACTGCAATTGATGGATATTGACGTTGGTTGTGTGGCATGTTGCACCGTCTTGTTGGAAATAAACATTGTCCATATCCATTCCTTCAAGTTGCGGTAAAAAATAGTCCTCTATCATAACGTGATATCGCTCAGAATTGACGGTAACGGCGTCCCCAGCCGCATTTTCGAAAAAGTAAGGTCCGATGATGCCTTTTGACCACAATGCACACCACACAGTCACTTTTTGAGGATGCATCGGCTGCTCTTGATACTCACGGGGACTTTCGTTCGCCCAGATGCGGCAGTTTTGCTTGTTTACCGTCCCATTTAAAGTGAAATGCGCTTCGTCGCTGAACATGATTTTTGATGAAAAATTGGCATCAATTTGGCGGTGTTCAAGGAGCCAATCTGAGAACGTTCGGCGCGAAAAATGGTCGGCCCGACGCAGCTCTTGCGTCAATTGGATCTTGTAGGCGTGTACATTCAAATCCTTGTGGAGAATGCCAAGCAAACTGGTTCTCGAAATGCCCAATTCTTGGGATCGACGCGTTGTTGATTGTTTCGGATCGTCTCTCACACTCTCCTTCACAACAGCAATATTTTCCGGTGTGCGAACGCTCCTTGGCCGGCCAGAGCCTGGCAGATTTGCCACAGAACCTGTTGCCTCGAATTTACGCACCAGACGACCGTTTGGGCGGTTGTTGCGACCGAAATGTTCACGAAGCGCGCGAAACGTGTCTTTTATTTTTGCACCATTTTTGTAGTGCTCTTGAATAACTTTAACGCGGTCTTCAATCGAATACGACTCCATAGCGATCAATGGTAAACATTCAGCTAACAAAATGACATGTCGGTGACAGAAAACAAAGACGCCGTCTATGTCAAATTGACGTTTACTTTCCTGCGTCCCTATTGGACAACCCTAATTCTCATTTTTCAAATTTCCAGCGATCACAATAACTCCTTTCCAGTAGTGTAGGAATTAACAGGGAACCGATTCTGTATGCACAATCTGTTTTTTATTTTGAATTTTATCCTTACCGTAAATCGATCCCTTAATTTTTGGCTCATATTGGATTTTGCGAAATCGTAGACATACTTCACTGCCAGCGGCATGTTGAGCAAATTGATTTCTTTGTGCCTCAATGGAAATGATTGCTGTAAAATGAAAAATAGATAATTCTCAAATAGTGTATAATAATAATCTAGAACAGATGAGTATGATATTCAAAAACTGATTAGCACTACAAGGTCACTCAGAAAACATGTAGTTCTGGTTACATTTTAAAAATAATGAACATTTTCCTCCTCTTTCCGTCATATGAATTCTTCTGGACACCCTATAAACCTATTAAACAATAGCGCGTTCCAATCAGTAATCTTATTTGAGACACACGGTTCAATTTAATAGGCTTTATTCACAGGAAATTAATTACAAATCAAAAATAAATTAATAAATAAAGCAAAGTATAAAATAACACTTGTTTCGCCAATAGTTTTCTATGTATAATAAGAACAGATCTAATAACTAAAGAGATCACATATACTAAGTGACATATAAATCCGAACACCCAGTTTAAATGGTTTTATTTTAATAAAATTTTGTATAAGTACTTAATGAAGCATAATAAGTAAATGATAAACATTTCAAAATGATTGCACTGCTTTAAAACCCTTTGACCTTTAATAATGTGTGGATGCACCCTGATGTGCTACGCATTCTCCAACGCGCCTAGGCATGCTTCTGATCAGGTGGTCAATGTCCTCCTGTGGTATCTCATTCCAGGGAACCACCAACTCCTCCCGAAGTGCTTCTAGAGTCTGAGGAGGACGTTGCAAATTGAGCAATCTCCTACCCATCATATCCCACACGTGCTCAATTGGGGATAAGTCGGGAGATCTTGGTGGCCATGGTAACAATGTGATATCATTATGTTGAAAGAAGTCTATTGTGACTCTTGCAACATGTGGTCGGGCATTATCTTGTTGGAAAGTTGGATCTGCCAGGGTGTCAAGATAGGGTAGAAGATGGGGTTCTAGAACTTCGTGGATATAACGCTGCGCGTTCATGTTACCTCTGATGAAGATTAAAGGTGACCTGGATCCATAAGCTATAGCACCCCAAACCATAACTCCAACAGTGTGATGAACATGTCTTTCAACAAAAAACTGTGGATTCCTCCTTTCACCACGTCGCCTTCTAACCCTGGCACGACCATCGTGCATGCCTAAGCAAAATCGAGACTCGTCACTAAAGACAATACTGTTCCATTCCTGATCCTAGAGTGACCGTTGTCTGCACCACTCAAGGCGATTACGTCGGTGTTCTCGAGTTAAAGGGAGGACCCAGTGTGGCCGGTATGAAAACAAGCCAAAACTTCTCATTCGTCGGTAAACACTTCGCATGCCAATAGGTCTTCCGTGTTCTGCAAACCATACATTTGCAATGGACCTGGTAGTGGAAAAACGGTCCCTTAAGGCCAATAATCTTAGGCGGCGATCTTCACGGTCTGTTGTTCTACGGCGGCGTCCAGTGTCCCTTGCTCTTTGCGTACGGCCTTCTCGAAGCCATGCCTGACAACACCTAACCACAGTGTCTACACTTCTTTGCACTCTAACTGCAATTGCCCGAAAAGAAAGTCCAGCTTCCCGAAGTCCCACTATACGGCCCCTATCAAACTCACTAAGTTGACGAAATCGTACAGGTCTCCACACTCTAGGCATCGTAACCGATCGTAAAGGATGTCAAGAACCAAAATCCGCCAACGTTGATTCTTTACTGCGGCTGAAGTATTCATTTTTAGAGCGTTAGTGAATTAAAAAAAAGCAGTATAAAAACCGGAATGTCCAACTGATAAGGCTGAACATTTTTTCACTTGTTATTTACAGTAACTTAAATACATTCATCAACTTTTATTAAAATAAAACCATTTAAACTGGGTGTTCGGATTTATATGTCACAAGATAAATGGATAATAAAATGAACTAACTTTTGTTAGCACTATGAACAAAACCCAGCACAATTAACATTCCAATTTTAAAGGATTGTTCCCTCAAGGTTTTGCATGAGCTATAAATAATTAAGGAGTTTTATAGCGTTACATGGCTAGAATAATCTAGAAAAGCATTGGTTTCACCTATTTTAATTACCAGAATCAATATTACAGAAGTTTATTGTGTGCGACACAAAGCTAAATACACACATTTGGAAAGATTGAGTTTAATAGTGTATTATTTAAATAGCTTTACGTTTCACAAGTTACGAATAATAGGTCATCGCTATCTGAACATGCAACAGAGAATGATTCATTATATCACTTATACTGGCTAAACCAAATTATCAAACTTTTCTGAATGTAATCCCAAAGGTATCTAGCAACCTTCAAATCTTCGTGATAAAAGAGTACCTTATTTATATTAAGAAATTAGCTAAAATCGATTGCTTCTTCAAGACACAATGTGATAAAGACAGTACACAGTGACGAAAAAAACACCCAGAAAATTTATTTTATTTGAATAAAATTATGAATCTAGTTAGGAAGTGAAAGAAGAATTGATTAAATTTTGAAGTGATAACATTTTCTGTCTTCTTCTCCCAAGCTAGGTGTACTTAGTTCCGATAAGATGTTAGCGCTCAAGAAGGATGAGGTAAAAAGGTGACTTTGCTTCCCGTCATATCCCACATATGTTCAGTGGGAAAAGGCGCGGAGATCTAGAACTTGAGCGTTATTTTTCAGAATCTAATATTTTCAAGTGTTTGAAGAAATAGCAAAAATGGGGTTCCAGAATTGCCTGAAAATGCCGTTGTGCGGACATACCTCCTCTAATGGAAGCCAGAAGTGACCTAGGATCATATTTAATGATGCCCTAAGCCTAGCACTAAAGTGTGATGTACGTCACGCCCAACAGGAAACTTTACATTACGTCTCATTCCGTGACGCCTTCTAACCTGACTCGTGCCCGTCCATCATGCATTCCTAAACAGAATTTGCATCATCACTAAAAACAATTTTGTACCATTCATCATCCTACCTTTTTTGTTCTCAATTCTGAACCGCTACATAAATAGGGCACTGTTATTTCCACTTTTTTCACACCGAAGCAGCCGCGCAGGCAGAGGCCTTAATGCCAGTACACCGCGACTGCTATGAGGACCACAAAGAAATTTCGTTAATTCGATTCTAAGAACTGCCTAAGCTTAGCAGGACTGGGAAAAGCCTCCTCTTGTAGGTTGTTCCACCATCGGAGCCAATACTGATCCTTGGGGACCACCCGCGTTGGCGTTGCCGTCAAATGCAAAGCTTCTCTGGGAGCCCATAGCATACACGTTTGCAGAAGAGGGTAGCGTGCCACAGCTGATTGAACTCTTTCGTGGTATGAAGAGCAACGATATGAGGCTGACTGTATGAGTTGTCCAGAAGCTCACGATTTATGCACCTCTCCATCACTTTACTTATAACAGAAAGCAGAACTATAGGTCTGTAGTAGTAAGGGTCGGTCTTAGATCCTTTTTTTTTTGATGGGTTGGACATGGCCAAATTTCCAGTTTCTGGGAAGGTGCCGGATTCGTAATATCGTGAAGAGACGCGAAAGAACTGCAGCAAGCTCCGCTCAATACAAAGGCAGGAATCAAGTCCAGGCCAAAAGCTTTGTTATTGTCGAGCGACAAGAGCACCCGTCTTACGGTCTTATCAATGTTACTTCTCGCATAGTGTAGGGAACCCTTTGGATCGACGGTACTCGGGCATTGGGGGACTTCCATGGTGGAGTGGCAGAAAAGATTTTGGCAAGCACTTCCGCATTATCGTTGAGTCTGTTACAATCGTTCCATCTTGGCACGTAAGTGATGGAAGGCTACTGTGTGAGAAGTAATTTCTAATAGAGAAGGTATGACAGCGCAACAGTATATCCAGGATTCTAGAACGTCATCTTTTAGCATTTATCCAAATGCTTGAGAACCCTATTTTCCAATAAGAGACTGCCCATCCTCACATTGCTATAGCTACAGTAGACTCCCTCAATAATTTTCAAATCAATTTCCTTCCTTGGCCTTCTAGATCTCTAGACCATTTGGCAATTGAACAAGCATGGAAAATAATGGAAAGAAGGTCTACTTCATCCTCCGTCAACTTTAGCTCTTCAGAATCAAATACATCTAACATGGGATGAGAAGTCATAAATCACCTCATCAGAATCTTGCGCTGACGCTTATGTGTATAAAAGTACAGTACACGTATAGTCTAATCATATTAGACGAAAATATCCCTGGTTTGCGAAATAATTGTAAAGTCTGGTTTTATTGCTGCAAGTTGTTCAAGGGGGTATACACCGACGTAATCGCCTTGAGTGGTGCAGACAACGGTCACTCTGGGATCAGGAATGGAACAGTATTGTGTTTAGTGACGAGTCTCGATTTTGTTTAGGCATGCACGATAGTCGTGCCAGGGTTAGAAGGCGACATGGTGAAAGGAGGAATCCACAGTTTTTTGTTGAAAGACATGTTCATCACACTGTTGGAGTTATGGTTTGGGGTGCTATAGCTTATGGTTCCAGGTCACCTTTAATCTTCATCAGAGGTAACATGAACGCGCAGCGTTATATCCACGAAGTTCTAGAACCCCATCTTTTACCCTATCTTGACACCCTGGCAGATCCAACTTTCCAACAAGATAATGCCCGACCACATGTTGCAAGAGTCACAATAGACTTCTTTCAACATAATGATTGTTACCATGACCACCAAGATCTCCCGACTTATTATCCCCAATTGAGCACGTGTGGGATATGATGGGTAGGAGATTGCTCAATTTGCAACGTCCTCCTCAGACTCTAGAAGCACTTCGAGAGGAGTTGGTGGTTGCCTGGAATGAGATACTACAGGAGGACATTGACCACCTGATCACAAGCATGCCTAGGCGCGTTGGAGAATGCGTAGCACATCAGGGTGCAACCACACATTATTAAAGGTCAAAGGGCTTTACAGCAGTGCAATCATTTTGAAATTTTTATCATTTACTTATTATGCTTCATTAAGTACTTGTACAAGTTTTATTAAAATAAAACCATTTAAACTGGGTGTTTGGATTTATATGTCACTTAGTATATTTTATTGAAGAGCAATGTGGTATCGATAATATTGAAAATTGAAGAACCGACCTCAGCACCAACAAGGGGCATCATGGCTCATTTTCAGAAACGCTGATATAAAATATTAAGATTTTTTTAGTAGTAATCTGTTTTACTCCGAAGCAGCCGCGATTTAGTGAATTATGAATTCCAAAATTTTCGAATCAACAAATCTTTTAAGGCATCTTTCTCACTTAGAGCACAGTTCGACACTGGCAAACGGCAAGCTCCATAAGCTGTATGTGCATTATCGGAAATCCATATTTCTGTAAAAAATTACGTCCAGTAGATTGACTCTGTACATTCCACGCATTAGAAACAACTTCTAGTAGAATTTTAGACATAGGGTTCGTCAGAACCACTATTTGGGCTTTTCCTGAAAAAGAAAATCCTTAGATTGCTTCATTAAGTACTTATACAAAATTTTATTAAAATAAAACCATTTAAACTGGGTGTTCGGATTTATATGTCACTTAGTATATTTGTTGTTAAAAGTTTTCCCACAAAAATTGGTGTACCCATTTTATGCGTCCATGTTTAAACCAGGCTTTACAATTATTTCGGGGAAATTTGCTAATATGATTAGACTAATATACAAAATGTCATTCAATTAGAATCATTCATACTGGGTGTTCCATTCTCCTTGTCACTAGGTATATAGGTGCTATTACGTATGCGGAGCACTGTTCTGTAACGACCGTGGCAAGTTCTTTGGGCTAGAATTGTATTTGCAACTAAGGTTTTTTCCTACAACTGCTGCAATTTAGTCTGCCTATCTCAGAAACGCTACAATCATATACAGGGTGTCCGCAAAGTTGTGGTTTTCCTTTTCAGAAACAACTACCCTTGAAATATCAAAGGTAATGTGGAGTGAAACGAGGGCAACCAAGTAAAAAAAAATAAAGGAAAAAGTACTCACTCTCCAGTTGATGAGAAGGGCTAAGTACGTCTCTGCCCGAAATCATTCCGCTCCAACAGAAAATGAAATCAGCTGATGCGCTACCGAGCAGACGCAGGCAAACAAGGAAGGCAAAATGTTGCGTAATGACCAAACATGAGTGTTGCGAAAGTTATTCACCCCATTACGCGTGAACGTAGATTCGTCTGTCACCAATATGCACTTCAAAAAGTCCGGATTATTGTCATGTTGATGCAACAACCACTCACAAAACCGCACTCTTGCCGGAAAATCGTCAGGTTGAAGGGCTTGTACACGTTGGACGTGAAACGGATACAGCCCCTCTTCACGCAGCGTTTGCCACACTTTAGTTTTTGATGCTTGCACTTCTCTAGCCGCGTCTATAGTGCTTGTTGTTTTTTGAAACGCAATCGATTATATGGGTTCGTTTACCTCTACACGCGTGACCGTAACCGTCGGTTGAAGGTTGCATACTGACCTGACACACTGACCCCGACCCAGTTCTGCCGTCGGGTTGAGACCTTGTACCAATCGGCAATCGGTGATGTCCCGGGTCGCGGCTACAGGACGGTATTCAGATATTTTTGATGTTGCAGAGCCCTTTATCTCGGTTCCCTTAAGACATTGGTGTATATGGTACTAAGAAAAATTGCTTATGTTTTCAAGATCTACACGTCGTGAAAAGGAAAACTCCAAGTTTGCGGACACCCTGTATTTGTCGATTTTTATTACTCACCTCTCCCCATTTGATGAGATAGGAAAATTCAGTTATCGTAAACAAAGTCAAGAATTGAGGGCTGATCGTTTCAACATCTGCAACGTGGTGTACTCCTAAGATTTGAGTCTCGTCATCATCTAGCAAAGTCTCGTAAGTAATGGCATGAGACTTCGCTAAGTCGACTCCGTTGAACTTGCTCACATCAAATTTACCTAGAAATGAATTCAATTTGGTTGATTACTCAGTTAAAAGAAACTTATGAACCATATGAAGATCATTCAAATGTATGAGCTATATCAGGTGTCTCAAATTCGACTCTCACCATTTTGATCTCGGAAACGGTAAGAGTTGAGCATGGAAGTAACTAAGAAAGTTTCTCAATTCCAAGCATTTCCAAAAAAAACTGAATTTTCACAAACCTGTCATCAAACATTAACATCATTTTTTCTCACAGACGCCATACTGGATTTTCGCACAGGTGAATCCAGCTTTCATTTCTGATTCTAAATATGTATACTAAGTGACATATAAATCCGAACACCCAGTTTAAATGGTTTTATTTTAATAAAAGTTGGTGAATGTATCTATCTTACTGTAAATAACAAGTGAAAAAATTTTCAGCCTTATCAGTTGGACATTCCGGTTTTTAAACTGCTTTTTTTTAATTCACTAACGCTCTAAAAATGCATATTTCAGCCGCAGTAAAGAATCAACGTTGGCGGATGTTGGTTCTTGACATCCTTTACGATCGGTTACGATGCCTAGAGTACGGAGACCTGTACGATTTCGTCAACTTAGTGAGTTTGATAGGGGCCGTATAGTGCGACTTCGGAAAGCTGGACTTTCTTTTCGGGCAATTGCAGTTAGAGTGCAAAGAAGTGTAGACACTGTGGTTAGGTGTTGTCAGGCATGGCTTCGAGAAGGCCGTACGTAAAGAGCAAGGGGCACTGGACGCCGCCGTAGAACAACAGACCGTGAAGATCGCCGCCTAAGATTATTGGCCTTAAGGGACCGTTTCTCCACTACCAGGTCCATTGCAAATGAATGGTTTGCAGAACACGGAAGACCTATTGGCATGCGAAGTGTTTACCGATGAATGAGAAGTTTTCGCTTGTTTTCATACCGGCCACACTGGGTCCTCCCTTTAACTCGAGAACACCGACGTAATCGCCTTGAGTGGTGCAGACAACGGTCACTCTGGGATCAGGAATGGAACAGTACTGTCTTCAGTGACGAGTCTCGATTTTGTTTAGGCATGCACGATGGTCGTGCCAGGGTTAGAAGGCGACGTGGTGAAAGGAGGAATCCACAGTTTTTTGTTGAAAGACATGTTCATCACACTGTTGGAGTTATGGTTTGGGGTGCTATAGCTTATGGTTCCAGGTAACCTTTAATCTTCATCAGAGGTAACATGAACGCGCAGCGTTATATCCACGAAATTCTAGAACCCCATCTTTTACCCTATCTTGACACCCTGGCAGATCCAACTTTCCAACAAGATAACGCCCGACCACATGTTGCAAGCGTCACATTAGACTTCTTTCAACATAATGATGTCACATTGTTACCATGGCCACCAATATCTCCCGACTTATCCCTAATTGAGCACGTGTGGGATATGATGGGTAGGAGATTGCTCAATTTGCAACGTCCTCCTCAGACTCTAGAAGCACTTCGAGAGGAGTTGGTGGTTGCCTGGAATGAGATACCTCAGGAGGACATTGACCACCTGATCAGAAGCATGCCTAGGCGCGTTGGAGAATGCGTAGCACATCAGGGTGCAGCCACACATTATTAAAGGTCAAAGGGCTTTAAAGCAGTGCAATTATTTTGAAATTTTTATCATTTGCTTATTATGCTTCATTAAGTACTTATACAAAATTTTATTAAAATAAAACCATTTAAACTGGGTGTTCGGATTTATATGTCACTTAGTATATTATATTATAGCGTTTCTCTGGGTTCTTCTGGGTGTGGCTTAAAACACTGGATTCCACAAAAAGAAATGCACTAATTTATTTAACTTGATAAAACATTTATATACACCACTATTTATGTCTGACTAATTCTTATGTTACCATTGACTGCAATATACTTCACTCCGCCCTGCTACTCTACCGTATTCAGCGACATCTAGAATATTGGATATCACTTCGCATCGATCTAGAAGGCGATCCACTGTCACAGTCCTCACAGACGCCGTCAGGCGGCTTGTACGGTCGTGGTTCGCGTAAAAGCGGAGATCGGCCATTAAGCTCTGGCGAGTATGAGACTCGCCCAACAGAAGGAGGTATTTGTCACAATATATTGACATTGCCAAAACTTAGTTATCTCAAGAAAGTGCCTTATTGGAAACATTGAAAAATTCAATTCTATGTGACTAATGGAAATATTAAAAGCCTCATTATTGTAGCAGCTTCCTAAGCACATTTCATATCACACGACACGCTTCTCCAAAACTCATGATTTAATAGGAGAAACAAGTGATAGACTCATTTTCAAAGCCAACCGTGAGAATATTAGGTTTTTTTTAAATAACTTAGGCTCAACAAATTTAATTCATGACACATTAAACATTTTGAAATCAGATTTAAAAACTATACGATATCTATAAGAAAAAATAAAGTTGAATATGGATGACAACAGGCGAAACATCATATTGAAAGTATGTCGGAGAATAATATTAACGTACTTTTTATTTTGAAATCTCAGTTCAAATAAAGTCAGGATGAAATAAAAACGATTTTGGGAAAATTCAGTTTCTTGCGTCTACTTCCGGAAATACTCGGCATTTAGAAAAATTCCAAGTGCAATTTTCTTAGTCACAACTTTTCCCCCGTTTAACCGACTTCCTATCCTTTACTGTCCCGCAATGGTGAGAGTCGAATTTGAAACACCCGATATACTACTAGTGGTAACGCACAGCGTGTATATTGATCTTGCTTCTACTCACTTAGGTCGTATATAATTACTCTTCTACACTTAGAATCACGAAATGGGCTAACAAAGATATATCTGCAAGTAAAATATGTCAATTAGAATATATGGTTACCTAGCTGTCATTCCTGACACCAATTGAAATTCTTAACAACCAAGCCAGATTATTTAGCAATAAGAGCAATGATTCAAATAGTCACATGCGATCAAGGCTATTAAAAAAATGTTACACTGCATCTGTGAATCAAAACGGTTTTACCATAGTCCGAAGGATCACTCTTTGAATGTTTACCCCATGTTTACAAAACACATTAAGACATACTTATTAAGTTTCTATGCAACGTATGCGAGTGCTTGTGAAGAAAATGTATTAGTACCACTACTACTACTAATGGTGTGTATGTCCTCTTACCCTTTAGATATCAGTTCGTTGATTTTTGGATCTCTGTAGTCTAGGTTATAAAATATCTCACGAAACTTCTTCCTATAGTTCAAATACTTTAACAGGATCTGCTGAGCCATTGGTATGCTGTATTTTTTGACTCGCAGAAATCGTAGAAGGAAATTGTCGTCTATAAAAATAAAAAAAAATAAGATTACAAAATGGTATATTTCATATAAGGCATTTCAACATAAAACAGTTTTTATAGAAAATTTACTCCAAAAATGAACTTTTTAAAACTACATATCAACCAAGCAGAACAGAACATTAGTAATTTTCATGTTATCGCCTCCAAAACTTGTGTACTGTATTCAAATATAATATACTCCAGGTAAAAAACCAGGATTAGCGCGTGACGTCAAAATCTTGATGCTCCTATTCGCCGTCGAACCAAAAATGCCTGGGCAGGTACTGACATACCAATAAAAGCGGTGCTCCAATGTTCGTATCTGTTTCTACACAGACTAAATGAAATATGAGTGGGGTATATGTTAAATTCGGAAACTACTTAGTGAAGTTATTTCTTCCACCAGTATCCATTACGTTTTAACGTCTACTGAGGTGACCCACGGATCAGCAAGTAACATCCCAGTGAACATAGTGAGATTGCAATGTCGGGCACCATTGACGTACACCGACCAACAAAAATGACGTAGAAATGACGTCATTATGATGGTCTAATGTCACACCCAATTGTATGACGTCATAGTACTATATGTCGTATAAAAGATCAAATACAAAGTCGATATGACGTCTGTATGTCGTGGATATAACGTCTATCTGAGGTCGATAGGAATTATGTGACATCGATATGACGTACAGTTACTCGTAAAGGTAATCGCGCGGTGTATCCAGATGCTACTGAAAACAGTGAGTTTAGGAGTAGTAGAAAGGCGCCGAAACTCATATTCGACTTACCTACCACTCTTTAACCTTCTCGTTCCGAGACGTCATTATCACCCCCACATCTTTGTTTGTACACAGTAAATCTGGATGATTAATAAAGAACTAAAAAACACTGTTTTATCTCAAGCACGTTCCAGTCCTCCTATGGTTCAGCATTTTTTTTTAAATATCAAAATCACTTTTTCCCAGGAGGCCACAGCACTGCTTGTTTCCTGGGTGTCACCCAACCTTATTGACTATGTGGCAATACTACTGTCATTAGTAAATGTTTACCAAAATGTACCTTAAGTACGACGAAGCCATCGTGATGCCGGTCAAACCCATAGATTTATAAAACAAAATGGCTGAACCATTACTAGACGGCGAACACGCATGGAGCTTTTACATCGTTCGAGCTCACCGCCAAGCATCGTGCTTGTTTGCTTGTTCGCTGATGATAGACTGAATGATATACCGTTCCAAAATTTGAGTTTTTACGGCGCTTGATTGCAAATTAATATTCTAGTGAAACTTGGTTATTGTTATACAGAGGAGTTTCTCATAAATTTGTTATTTACGAGAATAAAACATGATGTCAAATGGCGATTTGAAATACCTGAAAATGAAATATTATTATTATAAAAGCCATATTATTTATTTTTGGTCGAAGAGTTCATGTTACTTCTTTATAAATAATAAAGTAGTAATTAGTATTTGGATATCTAGTTTACCTTACTGTTCATTAAAAATCTATATTTTCTTTGTATGTGTTGATTTTTCAATACTGGGCGTCCGAATGGCAGGTTTTTAAATGGTATTTTATTGTCGCCATAAAAATGGCATCAAAAATTACGTCATTTTTTAGTCAATGACGTTTCTGACCAAAAGTCACCGAATAATGACGTCATTTTGGCGTCATCATGTTCACTTACATATTTGTATCGAAGCCTGTATTGTTGGCAATAATGAATCAAGTAAAACACAGGACCGTATTGAGAGCCGTTTATACCAAACATAGCCATCAACAGCCATTTTGTTTGTAGAGTTTTTTCCAGTTTGCGAAGGTACTTTTCTAAATGAAAGCGTTGTTAGGAAGTATGGATCTGTAGCCGTAGACCACAATAAAATACGAGTCTACTACTTAGCGTAGACAGATCCGTCAGAATTGTTTATCACTAGTCAATATGCGGTATTTTGAAATATTACTAGATGATCAGCTGTTAGTTGCTGTCACGTTTGACATAATGGATACTTGTGAAAAATGCCTTATCAACTATCTATGACAACGAAACGATGTCGAAGATGCGTCTGATATAATACAAGGACCTATGATTACAGTGTATAGTTTTGGGAATCTGAACTAAGCAACCTTGGTAAAATTCCAGAAATAACAGATTTTTTGACTTAAAATCGCAAAATACCCAGGCAGTATGTGTAAGAACAAAGTGTGTATATATTTGTTTTTGAGAAGTAAATGCTTATATTCAGAGAGAGGATCCTCCCACAAACGTATACAACAGCCAAACAGTTGCGTAAATTACAGTATTCGATAATAATTACTGTTGTTAATACGATGCTATGTGGCCTACTATTTCGTCTCCTTCATTTACGTCAGTACATTTAGTTGTTTGAATAATGTGAACAAACATTTGTAAAGGCTGGCAGAGTCACTCATGCTACTCGCATATGTTTCGCTTGCACTTAAGTCGTCGTGCAAGATATAGTATTTTCATTCAGAAACTCAAGTTTTTCCTTGAGCAAGTTGGTGCAAGCGAAAAAATCAGCCTTCAGTTGATTTTCTTCGTTCTAAGGCCCGTATCGTCAGTCGTCCCTAGAATTGTAGGGCGCCTTTATGGCCTCCTTGATTGTCATAGTTTTCTACTTCTTTCTCTATTTTGAGGTTATGTCACAAACATCTATTTGCATCAAATTGTGCTTGCTTTTGAGTTATATCATATTTTATCAGCCTGAAATTTACTACAATTTAAAAAGAAAACATAATATGTTCACAATAGGAGAGCGCTGACGCTGACACGGGACAAGTGTAATCTAGAAATTTTTGACGGAGAGAAAGCAGTATGACAATCAAGGAGGCCATAAACGCACCCTACAATTGTAGGGACGACTGACGATACGGGCCTAAGACACTGAAAGGACGCCATAAGGAAAACGGAAGATTTAGTACCATAGACACTATAGCCTACATACTGATTCAAGACTCGACATAGGACAGCGTGAAGTGGCATGTATCTGCCAAAATCGACTACTGCGAACAGTGAATCGCAGCTCACCGGTTGGGACTGTACGGATCTCAAGGCGACGAACGCAAAAAAACATGTTTATTTTGTTCAATGGCAAATCGACCACATCTACTACACAGCTCGAAGCATCACCATCTAGCGGTCACTTGGTGACTGGGCCTCCAATTCGCGGACTGAGACGCAACCGGCTGCGATTCACTGTTCGCAGTGATGGGCTCTAGTGATAGATGGCGCAGTCTTAAAGATCTCACACTTTTGATAGTGTTAGTTGCTAACGATTCAGCTGGTTGTCCGAGAGAACCAAGCCCTGACCATAATAAGGAGTAGTCAAAAAGCATGAAGCATCTGTCCATGGTTGCCTGTTTATTTTGATTTAAGACTGTACAAGCAAAACGTATGACAAGCATGAGAGTGTTTACGCTAGCCTTAAGAGTTATCAAGTATCCACCTTTCAATCCTTCAATAGATGTCACTGCCATTTAGTGGAACAACTAGGGTCCTAAGTCCTGATTCTACAGAATTTCGACAGTTGGAATTAATTCCGATGTCGCCTGCCCGTCATTCATTCCCGCTATGGTAATTTTGGCACCTGATTCTAATGAACTTCAAATTATCATAACGAATCAAATGTAAATGAACTTCAACGTCAAAATTCAGTTAGAGGTAGGCACCTGGACACTGAATACTATTTCTCTTACTCGTAATCATGCGGCAGTACCCAAACATGTGAGCAATTTTCGAGGTCTGATCTGGGTCAAGATACTATGTCTTGGAACCATTAAACTGTATCGGATTGTTGTATACCTAAGCAGTGATAATCGCCAGGTCTTTCGCCAGATGGGTAGACGTTGCTAGTCTTCCTGTCTTCAGCTCACCGGCAGACATCGGCTTGTTACTCTGAATTGCTGCATGTAGACTCCTGTCATCAGCAGCTGAGGATCTGATTGACCGTACAGAAGGAGGTCCTTAGCATATAAGAGGTACAATTGGGCTAAGACCGATCCTTGACATAGAACGGGGAAGAGGAGTATCCGTCAATTACGGACAGGGACGAAGTCACCCATCGATCAGCAAAGCTTCTCTGGGAGGCCATGGGATGGAAGCTTAAATAAGAGGACAGAATGCCAAAGCTGATCAAACGATTTCGTGATATCAAGAGCAACGACAATAGCCTCACCATGTGACTGGATGGAGGGGGTGCCCCGTGGATTGCTGGTGCTGGAAACCATACTGCCAGTCGCTATCAAGCCGTGACGTTCTACGTACCCCAGAAGGTCCTGATATATGCGCCTCTCCATCACCGTACTTATAACAGAAAGCAGAGCTAATATAGGCCCGTTGTTGTAAGGGTCGAACTTAGATTCTTTTTTATAAGATAAGAAGGTAAGAGAAGAAGGGCAAGTCACGCCCGGTATTTGCATATGATACATAGTTTTGTGTCCAAGTCCAGCTTCTTGAAGCATTTTTTCAAGTTGCAGATTGCGATTGTTTGATTTTCTTTGCGTTTATGAAAATTAGCTGTTGCCGCACACCATTAAAACTGTTATGAGCTACTGAACTATAAAAATCTAAATAGAGTTCTCAGAAAAACGATAAGGAAGTGATTACCCATTCAGCAGTTGATGTTTTATAACCTTTTTGATTATATTGAGGGTATCTAATTGCATTGCATGCTTATTGCTACACTCTAGAAGTAATAATTATGTTAGGTAATTTACTGCTGATTAAGTGTGGCATCGTTGTCTATAAAACATTCTCTACAAAGTAATCTCCTAGAATTTTTACTGGAAGGGAACATTGCCATCTTATACATCTTTCACTACATTTTAAATATCAAGTGAAATCGTTTATCAGATAGAGGGTTGTATACAATTTAGTCTAATCGTATTAGCAAATCTCCCCGAAATAATTGTAATGTCTGGTTTTATTGGTGCAAGTTGTTCTAAGGGGTATTTAATACAAGGACGTATAAAATGGGTACACCATTTCTTGTAGAAAAACTTTTTATTTGACAACAAAGAATGAACTAGTTGAAATAGAACACATAAAAGAGGATATATGGGTGGCCTTCCTGACAGAAATATATAAAAAAGAAAACGAAGAATCTTTACCAGCAACGCCAAATATAATAACTGATGAAAAGCCCGAAATCTCCCAAGAAGATGTGAAACAAGGAATAAATAAATTAAAAAATAGAAAGTCGCCAGGAGAAGATCAAATACCAAATGAACTCTTAAAATATGGAGGTGATTACCTTGAACAACAACTGCAACTCCTTATTCAAAAAATAATCACCACGAACAGAATACCAGATGAATGGAGGAGAGCGATCATGCTGATGTTCTTCAAGAAAGGAGATAAGAAAGACCCCAATAATTATCGAGCAATAAATCTGTTAAATACAACACTCAAATTGACAACAAGAATAATAGCGACAAAAATAAACGAACGAACAACTCTGCAAGAGGAACAGCAAGGATTCCGAACAGGAAGATCATGCATGGATGCAGTTTCTGTAATAAGACAAATAAAAGAAAAGTCGCTGGAATACAACAAACCAGCATATATGTACCTGACAGATTTGAAGAAAGCGTTTGATGGAGTGAGAATTCGGGATGCGATACATTTATTATATGACAGGGGAATACCACTGGATTTAGTAAAAGCTGTTGAGAATATATACTAAGTGACATATAAATCCGAACACCCAGTTTAAATGGTTTTATTTTAATAAAATTTTGTATAAGTACTTAATGAAGCATAATAAGTAAATGATAAAAATTTCAAAATGATTGCACCGCTTTAAAGCCCTTTGACCTTTAATAATGTGTGGATGCACCCTGATGTGCTACGCATTCTCCAACGCGCCTAGGCATGCTTCTGATCAGGTGGTCAATGTCCTCCTGTGGTATCTCATTCCAGGCAACCACCAACTCCTCTCGAAGTGCTTCTAGAGTCTGAGGAGGACGTTGCAAATTGAGCAATCTCCTACCCATCATATCCCACACGTGCTCAATTGGGGATAAGTCGGGAGATCTTGGTGGCCATGGTAACAATGTGACATCATTATGTTGAAAGAAGCCAATTGTGACTCTTGCAACATGTGGTCGGGCATTATCTTGTTGGAATGTTGGATCTGCCAGACTGTCAAGATAGGGTAAAAGATGGGGTTCTAGAACTTCGTGGATATAACGCTGCTCGTTCATGTTACCTCTGATGAAGATTAACGGTGATCTGGAACCATAAGCTATAGCACCCCAAACCATAACTCGAACACGAACACGTCGCCTTCTAACCCTGGCACGACCATCGTGCATGCCTAAACAAAATCGAGACTCGTCACTAAAGACAATACTGTTGCATTCCTGATCCCAGAGTGACCGTTGTCTGCACCACTCAATGCGAATACGTCGGTGTTCTCGAGTTAAAGGGAGGGCCCAGTGTGGCCGGTATGAAAACAAGCCAAAACTTCTCATTCGTCGGTAAACACTTCGCATGCCAAAGGTCTTCCGTGTTCTGCAAACCATTCATTTGCAATGGACCTGGTAGTGGAGAAACGGTCCCTTAAGGCCAATAATCTTAGGCGGTGATCTTCACGGTCTGTTGTTCTACGGCGGCGTCCAGTGCCCCTTGCTCTTTGCGTACGGCCTTCTCGAAGCCCTGCCTGACAACACCCCACAGTTCTACACTTCTTTGCACTCTAACTGCAATTGCCCGGAAAGAAAGTCCAGCTTCCCGAAGTCCCACTATACGGCCCCTATCAAACTCACTAAGTTGACGAAATCGTACAGGTCTCCGTACTCTAGGCATCGTAACCGATCGTAAAGGATGTCAAGAACCAAAATCCGCCAACGTTGATTCTTTACTGCGGCTGAAATATTCATTTTTAGAGCGTTAGTGAATTAAAAAAAAGCAGTAGAAAAACCTGAATGTCCAACTGATAAGGCTGAAAATTTTTTCACTTGTTATTTACAGTAAGATAAATACATTCACCAACTTTTATTAAAATAAAACCATTTAAACTGGGTGTTCGGATTTATATGTCACTTAGTATATATAAAGATAACATAGCTATGGTAAGATGTATGTAAAGGTAAACTCTAGCAACCTATCAAGTATGAAACTGGCATTAGACAAGGAGATTCGCTGAGCCCACTAATAGTTAATCTGATAATGGATGAAATCATAAAGAAAGTTAAAAAAAGAAGAGGATATAGAATGGGAGAAAAGAAAATGCTAATATGCTACGCCGACGACGATAATAGCCGAAAATAAAGATGACCTACAAAGATTAATTAAAGAATTCGAAGATACGGCACTCATATACAACATGGTGATTTCAACAGAGAAAACTAAATCGATAGTGATATCAGCGGAACCGAGACAATGTAAACTGGTCGTAAATAACAAAATAATAGAACAAGTGATGGAAACGGAATACTTGGGAATCAAACTGTCAAGCTATGAAAAAGAGGAAGAAGAAGTACAAAAACAAGTGAACATGGCGAACAGAGCAGCAGGATGCCTCAGCAATACAATCTGGAGAAACAAATACCTCACAACGGAAACGAAAACTAGGATATATAAATCAACAATAAGACCGATAATGACGTACACGGCGGAAACAAGAGCAGATACGGCGAAAACACAAAGATTATTGCAGAAATGAAAGTCTTACTAAAAATAACAAACCAAACTCTAAGAGACAGAGTAACAAGTGAAGAAATACGAGCGAGATGTGGTATAGAGGAAATAAACCTGTGGACCAAAACAAGAAAAATAACGTAGAATGAAATCAACACATAGAAAAAATGACAGAAAATAGAATAGTACGAATAGCAAGAGAGAAATCGCCAAATGGGACGACCAAGGAAAAGATGGTCACAAACATCAATTGAGGCTAAAAAGCGAAGTAAAACAGGCATGAGCCTATTAATAAAGTAGGAATAAGAAGAAAAACAGATAATGAGAAAACGTGTCCTTTGAGATTCAATCAAAAGTGTTGACAGGGACGAAAAGACTCTTCATATAAGAATTTTAGGTATTTATGAAGCCTACAAAATGAGACTACACGTGAAAAGTTCCGACTAATAGCAAAAATGTTATGTTAATAGTAAAATTCACGTGTTTGCCTTGTCGATATGAATCACAAACCATTCCGGAAGATAAATGTTATTTTTATGAGAAAAACAAGGGTTACGTTTTCTTCTTCCAAACAAATTCAAACATTTCGTATTTGTGAGTAATTGAACAAATGCATTACGATATTCGAAAAACATACGAATTTTTTTAAGTAGGCGTTGCAATCAAATATTTGACATAAATACCTGTCACCGAGTATAGTTATTATTGTGTATTGTTAATATTGCTTTATTATCATCAAATATGCCAGGCGGACATTTTAGCAATGGAGAAAAGTTCCACATGCTCTGTACTAAAAAAATACTAAAAATACTGCAGACATGTATCTTATTATATACTTACTAAGTGACATATAAATCCGAACACCCAGTTTAAATGGTTTTATTTTAATAAAAGTTGGTGAATGTATTTATCTTACTGTAAATAACAAGTGAAAAAAATTTCAGCCTTATCAGTTGGACATTCCGGTTTTTATACTGCTTTTTTTTTAATTCACTAACGCTCTAAAAATGAATATTTCAGCCGCAGTAAAGAATCAACGTTGGCGGATTTTGGCTCTTGACATCCTTTACGATCGGTTACGATGCCTAGAGTACGGAGACCTGTACGAACTTAGTGAGTTTGATACGGGATGGAACAGTATTGTCTTTAGTGACGAGTCTCGATTTTATTTAGGCATGCACGATGGTCGTGCCAGGGTTAGAAGGCGACGTGGTGAAAGGAGGAATCCACAGTTTTTTGTTGAAAGACATGTTCATCACACTGTTGGAGTTATGGTTTGGGGTGCTATAGCCAGGTTACCTTTAATCTTCATCACACGCAACATGAAAGCGCAGCGTTATATCCACGAAGTTCTAGAACCCCATCTTTTACCCTATCTTGACACCCTTGCAGATCCAATTTTCCAACAAGATAATACCCGACCACATGTTGCAAGAGTCACAATAGACTTCTTTCAACATAATGATGTCACATTGTCACCATGGCCACCAAGTTCTCCCGACTTATCCCCAATTGAGCACGTGTGGGATATGATGGGTAGGAGATTGCTCAATTTGCAACGTCCTCCTCAAACTCTAGAAGCACTTCGAGAGGAGTTGGTGGTTGCCTGGAATGAGATACCACAGGAGGACATTGACCACCTGATCAAAAGCATGCCTAGGCGCGTTGGAGAATGCGTAGCACATCAGGGTGCATCCACACATTATTAAAGGTCAAAGGGCTTTAAAGCAGTGCAATCATTTTGAAATTTTTATCATTTACTTATTATGCTTCATTAAGTACTTATACAAAATTTTATTAAAATAAAACCATTTAAACTGGGTGTTCGGATTTATATGTCACTTAGTATATTTCTTAAAATAAATTCAAAGCCATTTTATTTTTAAAAGTTTCTTAACGGCATGTAAATACGCCCCAAAAAGCGCAGCTTTTTTTTAGCCCACCCAAGCTGTATTTTCCACAGGTATTGAAGTCCCCATGGATAGGGTCCTTGTCTTGGATACCATGTATATTGTCATCAAGATTATTATTCTTGCTTGAAAAGGCCACCATGGTTTCCCAGACGTCGTCGGTAAATGCGATTTCAATCATATTTGGTTTCATTTAGCGCTCAGACAAACATGGAGGACTAACTTCATACCTGTCAGGCAATTTTCAATATCAGCATTTTGCTCCACCCATTCACGAAGGCTTTGTAAGCATTGAACCCTGTTACTCTCAGTCTCTCTGAGTTCCTCTCTAGCTACCCTTTCTAGCTCCTTCTTAATTCTGTCTTCAGAGTTGTTGTTGCGCATATTCATAGGGTCCGGCATTTTTCTTCAGTACAGCTGAAACGAAACATCGTATTATATTCTTTTAGGACCAACTTCATAAAAATGTTAAATTTTTCAATCATTCAGGTAAGCTGATTCTAGAATGCTTCCAAATATTCCACTGTGAAAGTTCCTGAAAACCGTTGATACGTGTATGAAAAAGGCATATGTCGGAAAGATATTTCTTCAAGACACGTTTCATGTCGCCCACACGGGTGCATTAAAAACAATTAAACTTTCTAATAAAAACAGTTGAACTGTTTATTTGAACCGCAAACTTGACGGGAGTCATGAATGTTCGGGAGTATGCGACAGACGCAATGCAGGTGACGCGCTTAGAACTCTCAGTTTCATTTGTGATTTTCACGAGGAGCTACAAATTAGAACCATTAGACCCATAACCATTGTTAGAATATTTATCGCTCTATTTAGGCCAATGAAGGGCAGTTATACCAAATATGTATTTAACATAGGCTTGTTTTGCTTTTCCTTTATATTGTATAATGTATATTATCGGAAGTGGCGCCTCCTGATGGTGCAGACTTTGAGTTATTTGAAAATATCCTAGTTTGTTTACAGTGATGTCGAATTTATTTATATTTGTAAATAAAAGTGCAATTTTTGGACACACGATCAAGTTGCCTTATTCAGTTTGAGATATCCCTTTCCCTACTTTCTGAATTTAGAACAAAGAGTTGCTTCTAGTGAAAAATGATATAGTTTAACCTATTTTTGAACAATCAGACAAATAATTGGTGAAACTTGATTCCATATATAACAAGTACACAATCAACTGAATTAAAAAATATCAAATTTTGTTAGAGTTACAAGTTTCGGAAGATGTTATTTTGCTTCGAAAATGTCAACTATTAAGATCAAGCTTTCCAAATTTTTTGATGTCAAATTTGTCAGAGCACAGCTATAATATAAATCGTTCAGTAGAATGCAATTTGTTCTTTATTATATATATTATCCAAATATACTTCCAAATCTAAATAAAATAATTCATTTTACCAGGCTGATACTTTTGCCTAAAATAATTAAACAAATTTAATACGTATAATTAAAATGTTATACTTGGAATCGGTAAACTCATTTTGATAGTTCATTAATTTTAAATAAACTGATGTACTCAATCTAAGTAAACGGTTTAATAAATTTAACTATCGATTGCGTTTCAGCTTAATTAAACTATTTTCATAGATCAAAGTAAATTTTTTAGAAATCGGAGTGCAGTTAAACCAAGCCCACCAAACTCTACTGTTTGTTCGGTTAGGTTTTCGTGAATGGATCCTCCAATGCGACTTACTGGACCATTGCTGCACCCCTGTATACTACTCCCAGTACGTCTAATCTTCTAAAGAAGTTGATAAGCTTATTTTGAGAATACCTTCCATCATGGAGTAGCGCTCTGGGGAACAAAGCCCCTCGCCGTCATTGCGAAAGGGTCCCGAGACTGTCAGTTAGAAAAGAGTTCATCGGACAGCCCCTCTCTGAACAACCCAAACAGGGGAGCAGTACCCGAAGCTAGGTCTTATCTGGGCCTTGTACAGAGTGAGGAGGTCATGTGGAGAAAAGTATTCTCAGCGCTATTGAAGAAATGTGTTCGTGCCAGATGAAGTCCTCGGTGACCTAGACTTCGACCATCCGAAATCATTAGTAGGGCTCGGCCATTTATAACCTGCTGAATATAGCTAAAACCCTGACACATGAGATTCCGGGCTATTATCATTTCTCAATACTGAAATCAGTTTACAAAAAAGTCGATTGAAAGTAACACTCATAAAATATACTATTACATTGCATACCCACAGGCTTCTGCAAAATGCTTTATGGCCTTTCGTTCATTTGACAATTAGACAACTATGATATATTTATATACTTCTTCATGCATGAACGATAATCATAATTACGAATAATTATGCAAGATGCAACCCATATTTTTGAGATCCTCAGAGACGGTAAGAACGGAGAAAGTTGCAAACATGAAGCGCGCATGAAAAAGGATTTTTTTTAGTGCCGTTTGCCTTTGTAATGTGGCAATGTTTACATAAGTCGAGAGGAATTTTGTAATTATTCTTCCTTAATATTTCACAATGAAAATTCGATGGTTTTCAATTGTAGATAAATGCTTAGCTCGTGACTCGATTTTTTCTTTGGCTTTTCATATCTACACAATGTTATTTCCATCATTGAAGTAACATTATTAAGATACAATTATGTCACCAAAGGTACAACGTGTCTTCAGAATGAATAATTATTCATTTCCATTTGAGTTGTTTCATGAGAACCTTGATGCCGTAAGTGAAGTACAAGGTGTGAGTTTCCACTAACTTATTAAAGTTAGATACGTTGTTGCATTTTTGAGATGGACCGGAGAGAAAGCATGAAAGACAGAGATTGAACAAAAATTTCGATGGAAGCTATTAAAGATGTCATAAGTTTTCTGACACAGTTGGACAGCTTAGTACAATTTTCAGAATTATTGCTGGTTTTTGTGTAAAAACTAATTGATGCGTTCAATAATGTTTATTCTTTTATAAAAATTGCTGAAAATGGTGAAACATAAATGTTTTCGATAAAAAAATCACGACGTGCTAGAAAAAAGCTCACATAGATTAGGTGTTGATTGAAAATGAAAATCAAGGAGGCCATAAAGAGCTTCTTCAATTGTAGGAACGACTGACGATACGGCCCTTAGTCTGCGAGTCTAATGTATAACAGAATAATCTTGAACGATTCCATTTTTAAGAAATTCCTATCGTTTATAATTTCCGGTAGCCAATATAGCCGATCGAACATTGTCGAGTCACTTCAGACTTACCTGCATCAATCATTTTTTTTAATTATTACATTATTGCAAGTCTTGCCGGCACAGCGACATAGTTTAATACGTTCTCAGAATTACCATGACCTTTACTTATAATATTGTCTAGGCATTCGATCTGCTTGCTCGATAGGTAAAATGTTTTCAATGTTAATTATTGAATCATGTAAACGGTAAATGCTGCCTTGTATGTTCCGTTACATTTTCCTTATGCTAATTATAGGTGGGAAAAGCAAAACGCTAGTAATTTGAGATGAGAAATCTTTTGGACTCATGACTTTTTATTGCAACAATAGCGTGCCAGTTCATCGTAAATAATTTCGCCGAAAACTAAACAGTATATATAAAAAGCAGTGTGCCTTTTTCTGAATAATTTGACTGATGAACCTATCAAACTTTGCAGCCGTCAATCAACTGTACTGTACTTTTACAGTATGTAACTTTAGCAATAATTTGGAAATAAATATGAGTATATTAATCCGAATTCATCGTCGTGTAAGAGATGTAGCTGAAAGCTGTGACTGAAATTCAAGAATAATCCATAGAAAAATATGACTCTTGTATTCCATACTTATAACTATACAACGGCCCCTCATTATTAATTTCATTCATTTATTTCAATACCTTCGTTATTATAAGTTTTTTTTAGCTTAATTACATTTCCAAAAAAAGTATTCGACTAAAATGATTTTCTGAGTGCTCACGGTCCATTTTTCATTCTTGTTATAGGTGATCCTTAGGCGTTTATTTGACATACTGTTTCACACCGCTCCGTTCGTGGACAGAGTTTTGACGTTCGAGTCTACCGAATACCTATGTGGTTAGTTCAAGGCGCGGTCACTAAGGACTCGGGGAGACAAGGAGGAGGATCCTTAATTTTCCAACAAACTATTCCTTTTCCTATTAACCTTCTCCCTCAATTGCCAGCCTACCGAGAAATTGCACCGTAATGTTAACCTCATTGTCACAAACTGTTCACCGTACATGATTATTTACGTCGGTACATGAGTGAGTAAATATGTCTTCATGTGCACCACATTCCTCCAACGTATTTACACAGGAAACCTCAATTTCATATACAGGGCGTTCCTCAATGATATGCGAGTATTTAAGGGTGTGAATCCACATGAAAAATTAATGTTAGTTTGCTGAATAAACTATGGCCCAAAAAAGTTTCCTTACAAAAACTCGGGGTGTTGAAGTTTTAGGAAAAAAAATGGAAATTAATAAATATTTTTAGAACCGCTTCAGATATTTCACCGATATTTAGTACGTAGTGAAAGTTAATAAAGGTGAATATTTATCTATGCAAAAATAATTTTTAGCTTTAACAGTGACGTGCGTACGGGTATTGACTTTGATATTTTTTAAGAAAAAAATGGTACGCCAATGGTTTTTTGTCAAATAAAAATTATTTTGGAATTCCCCGTTCAATTTAATACAAATGATCTCTCTTGAATTGTTTTCTTTCGATTCGCCAAATTATTATTAATTTAATTGGATAAAATAAACACATTAGGGGTAATGAACAACAACAACTGAAAACATAAGCATAACATTAAAATCAACGAAATGATTACAAAAATGGCCCCCATCACTTAGTATGCATGCTTCCGTCCTTCTTCTCATGGAATAGCGCACTCGTTGAAATATCCCTGGAGTATTTTTTATTCTATCACAAGCTGCAACTATTCTTTCTCTTAATTCCTCTACAGTGTTAATGGGACTTATGTACACTAGTGTCTTAAGATAGCCCCATAAAAAGAAGTCTAAACTGTTGCGGTCTGGGGACCTTGGTGGCCATTCTTGGGGCAGACCGCGGCCATCCAACGATTTGGATAAACAGTTTGTAAATAATTACGAACCCCTACACTGAAATGCGCTGGTGCACCATCATGCATGTACCACATATTGTTTCTTATTACTAACGGAACATCATCAAGCAGCAAAGGCAACTGTTGTTGAAGAAAATTGAGTTAAGTCCTTCCGTCAAGTCGTCCTGGCAAGAAGAATGGGCCAATAAAGTGGCTGACAATAATTCCTGCCCATACGTTAACCGCAAATTGGTGTTGGAAATGGGTTTCGGTTCCTGCATAGGGATTTTCTTCTGCCCACAAATGATTATTGTGGAAATTCTAAATGGCATTTCGAGAAAAATTAGCTTCGTCCGTGAACAGAATCATTGATT